GTCTCCGGCTGTAAGGTACGACACATGCCTTCATCATACCACGGTTGACTATGTAAATAACATAGGGATTGAATATGGATATGAAAATGAACACATTTGAATAAATAATAATAGTTGTTATTGATATTAAATTAAAGATAATAATAATAAAAAATTATAGTAAAATAAAAATATTTAATTAGACTACTGTATAACTACCATAGTGATAAATATGTAAATATGAGTATGAACAAATATTAATAAATAGTAATATGAATAAATAATAATAGATGGAATTGTATGGACTATCATGCAAGTAGCATAGTGATAAATATGTAAATATTTGTGTGTAAAACGTGTAATAAATGTAAAACGTGTGTGTGTGTGTGTGCGTGCGTGTGCATGCGTGCGCGTGTGTGCGTGCGCGTCTGTGTGTGCATGTGTGTGCGCGTGCGTGCGTGTGTGCGTGCACGTGTCTGTGTCTGTGTGTGCGTGCGTGTGTGTGTGTGCAGGTGTGTAACTGCAGTGCCGAGGGCTCGAGTTCGTCTCAGTGTGAGCTGCAGTCGGGTCAGTGTCGCTGCAGGCCACACTTCTCCGGTCTCAAGTGCGACCGCTGCGCTTTGGGCTACAAAAACTTCCCAGAATGCACCGCCTGCAACTGCAACCCCAGCGGCACGCGAGAGGAGTTCTGCGACCCGGCGCTGGGAGTGTGTGGATGCGAGGATCACGGCCGCTGCTCCTGCAAGGTGACGCCGGCGACGCCTCCGTGTGCTGTAGCGTGTTCTAGTGCATGATGGTTAACGTGGTGGATGTGTTTCAGGAGAATGTTGGCGGCGGCGGCTGTGACGAGTGTAAGAGCGGGACGCTCGGTCTGACGGCGCAGAATCCGTCCGGCTGCAGTCCGTGCTTCTGTTTCGGTGTGTCCAGCGTCTGTGAGGAGCGCGGCGGTTTGATCCGAGTGCCGGTGAGCCGTGATCACGCACACAACACATCAGCTTACACTGCAGGAAACCGTTTGCCAGCTACACTATAAATGAATATACACTACAGTTCAAAAGTTTGGTCCTGGTAAGATGTGTTCAAAAGAGTCTCTTCTCAGCAAGGCTGCATTTATTTGATCCAAAATACAGTAAAAATTTGAAATATTATTATCATCTAAAACAGCTGTGTTCTATGTAAATATCTGTTAAACTGTAATTTATTTCTGTGATGTGCAGCTGTATTTTCAGCATCATTACTCCAGTCTTCAGTGTCACATGATCTTCAGAAATCATTCTAATATATATAAAATGTTGAAAACAGTTGTTTGTAGTACTTATATGTGTTGTATATTTTTTATTATTATTATATTTATTAAGTGTTGTAGTATAGTTATTCTAAATTATTAAATTAATTAGAAAATTATAAATGTCTTTCACTTTTGATCTAATTAATGCATCCTTGCTGAATAAAACTTGCTTTTAAAACACATCAATAAAAGATTTTTTCAAAAACAAAATACTGTCTTACCAACCCCAAACTTTTGAACGGTAGTGTCTATAAACAGAAGTCTTGAGATTCCATGCTTTACAGTGATTTTACCATGATTAAGAGGTGTAAAATATAAAAAAAATGTGCATAATCTAAACACATCTAAAGTTTTAATTAAGACACAAACTAAACTCAGATAAAACATTATTTATGAAGATGCAGTGCAGGAAAATCCTGATGCTGATGTGAATCGTGAGTGTTTATCGCGTCAATCATGTCTGTGATTCAGATCACGCTGGGCTCTGCTCCGGCTCTGCTGCGTGTCGTGTCTCAGAGTGACCTGCAGGGGACGCTGGAGGGCGTTTCTTACAGCGATCAAGAGATGCTGCTGGATGCGTCTCACCTCCACAGTCTGTCTGTCCTCACCGGCCCGTATTACTGGAGACTCCCGCAGAAATACCACGGTAACAAGGTACAGACCCCACACAAACACCACAGAAATACCACGGTAACAAGGAACAAACACCACACAAACACCACAGTAAACCCCGCAGAAATACCACGGTAACAAGGAACAAACACCACACAAACACCACAGTAAACCCCGCAGAAATACCACGGTAACAAGGAACAAACACCACACAAACCCCCACACAAATACCACGGTAAACCCCACAGAAATACCACAGTAAACACCACAGAAATACCACAGTAAACACCACACAAATACCACAGTAACAAGGTACAGACATGCACAAATACCACGGTAAACCCCACAGAAGTACCACAGTAAACACCACACAAATACCAAGGTAACAAGGTACAGACCCACACAAATACCACGGTAAACCCCACAGAAATACCACGGTAAACACGAGCAAACACCACAGTAAACCCAGCAGAAATACCACGGTAACAAGGAGCAAACACCACAGAAATACCACGGTAACAAGGAGCAAACACCACACAAACACCACAGTAAACCCCACGGTAACAAGATGGAAACAAGGAGCAAACACCACACAAACACCACAGTAAACCCCGCAGAAATACCACGGTAACAAGGAGCAAACACCACATGGAGAAATACCACGGTAACAAGGTACAAACCCCACAGAAATACCATGGTAACAAGGAGCAAACACCACAGTACACCCCGCAGAAATACCACGGTCACAAGGAGCAAACACCACAGTACACCCCGCAGAAATACCACGGTCACAAGGAGCAAACACCACAGTACACCCCGCAGAAATACCACGGTCACAAGGAGCAAACACCACAGTACACCCCGCAGAAATACCACGGTCACAAGGAGCAAACACCACAGTACACCCCGCAGAAATACCACGGTCACAAGGAGCAAACACCACAGTACACCCCGCAGAAATACCACGGTCACAAGGAGCAAACACCACAGTACACCCCGCAGAAATACCACGGTAACAAGGTACAAACCCCACAGAAATACCATGGTAACAAGGAGCAAACACCACACAAACACCACAGTAAACCACGCAGAAATACCACGGTAACAAGGAGCAAACACCACAGTAAACCCCGCAGAAATACCACGGTCACAAGGAGCAAACACCACACAAACACCACAGTAAACTCCGCAGAAATACCACGGTCACAAGGAGCAAACACCACACAAACACCACAGTAAACTCCGCAGAAATACCACGGTCACAAGGAGCAAACACCACACAAACACCACAGTAAACTCCGCAGAAATACCACGGTCACAAGGAGCAAACACCACACAAACACCACAGTAAACTCCGCAGAAATACCACGGTCACAAGGAGCAAACACCACACAAACACCACAGTAAACTCCGCAGAAATACCACGGTAACGAGGAACAAACACCACAGTAAACCCCGCAGAAATACCACGGTAACATGGTAAAAAAAAACTCAAAAATACCACGGTAACAGGGTATCTTTGAAGATTATAAAATACCCTTCCATTGTAAATGTGCTTAAAGTTTTTCATTTAATTCTTTTTCATCTTGGTATTTTGGGAGATTGCCATTTTGTTTATATATATATATATATACATATATATAATATTAACTGCTCGCTGTGCACCTGTCCTCTTCGGGGTCAGAGGTGAGGTCACATGACACTGCTGTGCTCACATGGTCACATGTTTACCGACAGTAGTTCCGGAAATTAACCAATAAAAACAGTTCCGGAAATCAGCCAATCGGAATTAATAATAGAATACCACGAAATGAAATTTAATAGCAGCTCATGTTAGAGCTGCACAACAATATTTAGTTTTTCTTCTATATTAAGATATAAAAAAATGCAAGGATTTTCACCAGATGACTTGAATAATTTTATTATGAAATAATTCGTGTGAGTAGGATGATTTTATGCAAAAAAAAAAAAAAAACTTTATATTCTGAAGACATTTTTTGAGTGCAAATAATAATAATAATAATGACTATTATTAAATACAAATTTTGAAAAAAAAGAATAGAAATATAGTGTAAAAAATATTATTTTAATTCAATTCAAGTTTATTTGTATAGCGCTTTTCACGATACAAATCGTTGCAAAGTAACTTTACAGTAAATTAGGTTTCTACAATATTTAGTGGTAGCTTATCAGTGGTGACTGTCAGTTAATGTACATATGGCAGAAATGTACGGAAAAATCAATTAAAGACGTAATCAAACAGAAGATGAACACTATTAACAGCAATTATTATGATGCAATCAAACTTATAGCAAAATGTGGTAGTTCTGTAAGTGGTTTCAGGGTTGGCATCATCTGAGGTCCTCTGAGGGGTTGGCATCATCTCTTCTCAGGTGTTCTGGATCCAGACTGAAGCTTGTGTAAATCCTAGCAAAAAACAGAGAAACAAATAGAGACATAATTAGCATAGCTGCTGTTCCAACCAAGCAAAATTGATTTGTTTAACCCAAACTAAACAATAATAATGTGCATTTGAGCAGATATAACTGCAGTACAAGATTATGAGATGCATTATTTGAATGCTTGGCCAAAGAGATGTGTCTTTAATCTAGATTTAAACAGAGAGAGTGTGTCTGAACCCCGAACGTTATCAGGAAGGCTATTCCAGAGTTTGGGAGCCAAATGCGAAAAAGCTCTACCTCCTTTAGTGGACTTTGCTATCCTAGGTACTACCAAAAGTCCAGAGTTTTGCAACCTTAGGGAGCGTGATGGATTGTAGCGAGGTAGAAGACTAGTTAGGTACGC